TCTTCTCTTTTTCTTTCTCTTCTTTTCTCTTTTCTTTCTTTCTTGCAAAGATGCCACCAAACGTGCTCGAGCGGATTGAGTTCGAAAGAAAGCATTAGGTTGCCGGCCTATTGATCGATTGATCGGCTGATTGATAAATAAATAAGGCAGGTGATCTTTAAATCTCGAAATCCTTTATTATTATTACTATTATTCTTCATACCGAACCAAAGCCCCGCTTTCCTTCTTCCCAAGCTGGATCGCTGCGTTCGTCATCTTGCCTGCGGAAACGGAGATATCTGAGGTGCGCTATTTTTGGAAAGATGGGATTGGCTTGCCATGGCTTGGCTTGACTTCTTCAGCTTTTCAGCTTTGAAGACTTGAAGACTTGGCTTTGCTAGCTAGCTAGCTACCAATTCATATCACTACGTACATCGTTTATTCCCCCCCCCCCCCCAGCCCCATCCCCTTTTCCCTTCCCTTCCGTTCCGTTCCCCTCCTCCTACTTGCAAAGAAGAAGTTAAAAAAACATTACTAAAGAAAAAAAATAAAAAAAAATAAAAAAAATAAACCACCTGCCCCCTCCCCCCCCACCTCCTCAACCTCCTTACATACCGTGCTCTCACACACCTACCTACCTACCCACCTACCTACCTACCCACCTCGCCAATCCATTCCTATCGCGCCTTCAAGTTCTAAACGGCGCCAACGCCCGCTAACACCTCTTCTTTCCGTAAAGTATACTTCGTATACCCATTTCAAACCAAACCAAACAAAGCTAAACTGAGATAAGCTAAGCTAAGCTAAGCTGATGTACTTACAATCGATTTAGCAGGTACCCTAAGCGCTTCGCCTCAAACTCATCTATCGTCAAAGGTAAAAATTAAGATTACGTGACATTGACGGGAGCTGTTCTTGATTTATCTGATACCAGATTCACATCTGAATCCTAAACAAACCCACCTCCATGACAAGAGCAACAGCTAGAGCCACAGCCACAGCCATCGCCACAGCCATCCATCACACCCCTTGTATCCATACATACATCCTCACATCCCTCTACCCTCACATCTCTCTACCCACCCATCCACCTAGCCCGAAATGCCCGTGCTGGCCAACCTCAACTTCTTGAAATCCGGCGTGCCCAGTCCCGTCACCGGATCCCAGCCCTCCACCGCCGGGAAGCCGCTCCCCGGGATCTGGCTACACCCACTGCTCTTGCCGGCCACGATGTCGACCAGGCCGCTCACGCCCTTGGAGTAGAGCCAGGGGTTCAGGAAGCCGAACGGCGGCAGGCCGTGGGAGATGCGGTCGCCGTTCAGCAGCGCGACAACGGCGGCGAAGGCCGGCGACGAGGCGGACGTGCCCGATACGAGCTCGTCGACGCCCGTGATGATGGTGTGGAAGTAGACGCCCTGGGCCGACACGTCCGGGTAGGCGCGGCCCGAGACGTTGAAGAAGGGCGTGAAGGCCGGGTCGGCCTGGGTGCTGAGCCAGGCGGACACGGCGGCGTCTTGCCACGCGGGCCGGGCGAAGAAGTCGGAGAATCCGCCGCCCGAGAAGGAGACGGCGAGCTCGGGGGCGACGTAGCGGGTGGCGCCGACGGCGGTCACCCAGGGGCAGGAGGCCGGGAAGGCGGGCGTGTAGAGAAGCTTGGAGGGGTTCGTGGAGGAGCAGTTGGAGCCGGAGCCCGAGTCGCCGGAGGATGCGAGGATGGTGACGCCGCGCGCGGTGACTTGGGCGAAGAGATCGCAGACCGTCTTTGCGTAGGTGATGGGGACGCCCCACTCGTTGTCCCCGTACGAGATGGAGATGGTCTGCGGGATGGTCTTCCGGGCCAGGAGGTCGGTGAGGAACTCGAGGTAGGGCTCATTGTCCAGCTCGTAGTCGACCGTCTCCGGGGGCCGGCCTCCGGTCGAGTAGTAGACGGCGGGCGTGGGGTAGGCGAGTCCGAGGCCGTACTGGATGTCAAGATTGGCTTCGACGATGCTCTGGGGGCCCCCGGTAGCATCCTGGGTGTTGAGACCGCCGTTGATGAGGACCTCGGTAAAGTCGGACTCGTTTCCGTAGGTCCCTGGGACGTAGGTCTCGAGAAACTGGGCGAGATCGTCGTGTTGCGCGTACTGCTCGAGGAAACCCGCAAGACCAATCCGGTTACCGTTGCGACGGGAGCCCCGGAAGTGCTTGAACTTGTACAGCGCCTTGATGCAGTCTGGCGTGGTGGAGACGTTGCACGCAACCGTATCGAGGCCATCGTGGATATCGGCCGCCGCGCCCACCTTGTTGAGGGCGACGGGTGCATCGAAGTCCTTCACGATGGTGGACAACTGCGGAACGGGGGCGCTGAACTTGATGGTCGGCGCCACAATGTCGACGTAGGCGTGGAGGACAGCCGGGAGACTGTATTCCAGAGTCCGCGCAGCCGTCTTTCCAGACTCGGAGTTCTCGAAGATCTGGTACCTGGTAGCGAGAAGCGTCTCCACGATCCCGATGGTGGTGTCGACCAGCACCCAGTCGTTCTCGATCTTGGCCTGGGAGGTCAGATTGTAGGCCGCGAGCCAGCCGAGCACCTGCGTGAAGGAGTCCTTGGGTGGTGCGATCATGGAGTTGACTTCCTCCCGGCTGAGATGGCGACCGTAGGAGGGATGGTCGGGGGTACTGGCGTCTAGGACCTTCTGCTGGAAGAGGCCCACATTGCGGTTCTTGAGATGGATGCGCAGCCTGAAGCTCCGGTTCGAGTCGATCTCCGGGGCATCTTTCTTCACGATCCACGGGGCGGGAGCCGCTGGCAACTGCTCGAAGACGCGGTATTCTTGGCTGGCGGCAGCAGCAGCAGCAGTGCCAGTGGCAGTGCCAGTGCCGACGACGACGAGGAGGGCGACGAGGGAGAACTTCATGGTGGGTGGGGAGAGCACCGATGGGGAGAGAGAATGGGGGAGAGAGAGAGGGAGGGAGAGGGAGAATGGGAGAGCGAGGGGGAGAAGGAAAAGGAGAAGAAGAAGACGAAGAAGAAAAAGAAAACAAAGGGGGCCATCCACATTGTATCGTGATGGTATTCACCTGACTCACCTCATATCACGACGATGGTCCTGCATCTGCATCTGCATCTGCATCTCCTCCTTCCTCATCTCCATCCCCATCGGTACCTTCCCCCGCCGGACAGCTGCAGCTCACTGGCGGGTAGTCCAGCTGCCTCTTGCCTCTTGCCTCTTGCCCGATCGAGTGCTCCCTGCCGAGTCCTCAGTGCTCAGTGCTCAGTGCTCAGTGCTCAGTCCCTAGTCTTTAGTCCCTAGTCTTTAGTCTTTAGTCTTTAGTCTTCAGTCTTTAGTCCTTGGTCCTTAGTATTTAGTCTTAAGTCCTTAGTCCTCAGTCCTCAGTCCTTAGTCCTCAGTCTTTAGTCCTCAGTCCCCCCTCCCACTCCCGTCTCGATCTCGATCTCGATCTCGGTCAATCTCGCTCGTACGCCCCCAACCTCAACCCCAACCTCAACCTCAACCCCAACCCCAACCGGTCAAGCATTCAAGCACCAAACACCAAACACCAAGCACCGGCCCGCATTCGCTTGGCCGAGCTTAACCCCAAACAAGCAACCCGTGCCGTCATTTCCAAGCTCTGGGCAGCACACACCTACACATACACATCCGGATCTCTTCCGATCGAGAAAGTGACGGGACGGGACGGGACGGGATGCGATGATTCTGATCTGATCTGATCTGATCTGATCAATCACGTCCGGCGTACCTGCCAAGCCCTGCAGCTACCCCCCCACCCCCCACCCCCACCCCCCGCCACCTTCCCGATCGGACGTAGCCTCTTATCCCGTCGACGGGATCTGACAGAATCGCGTCGGCGACTCTGTGCAAGGGGCCGATATTCAAATCACGCCATGTGGGCATGTTGCACACGACATGATGAGATTTGGAGTAGAGGAGTAGAGGGGATGATGGGGGGGGGTTGGGTGGTTGAGATGCCAAAAATATATATATACGAATATATATATATTTATATATGATACCCTACTATCAGTATCCAGTGCTTTCTTTCCGTCATGGACGGCACAAATACCCGAAATAAGCAGATCTTGATAGCGACCTTGAAGAGAGAGTTATCAATGAAGCTTTGGAGAGAGAGAGCCCAGGTGAACCATTCTAGTCTAGCGCCCGTCTCGGCTAATTATCCCAAACGAGCCCCCTCGGTTAAATTTCTCCAAACAAGGTTTCGGTTAAGGCCCTTCCTTCTGTTTACATCATGAAGACTGATATTTTCATCTCCCCTGGGAAACTAACTGATGACTGATAGTAGGATCGTGACCAGGACAGACGGCTACTCTGGAGCCTGGCCTGGCTCTGAGGATCATGACATCTGTTTATCAGCCGGTAGATGTATCTGAGGCATAGTAGTTATGTGTCTACGATTCGAAATCAGAGCCGTCAAAGCGTTTCGGGAAATGGGCTGCGCAAGTAATGTAGAGAAATGATTTTAATTCTGTTTTGTCTTCGGGGCTGGAGTTCGATGGTTGAGATTACTATCCTCGTGGAGAGCCCCTTTCTCTCTCCCCTGCATCGCCTACAAGCTCTCGATCGCTGGGGATACGCTGGAACGGCATCGTCATCATCATCTAACCTCCCAAGCCGCGCCGTGCAAGAAATCACCGGAGTCCCAGCCAGAATCCCCCCACCCCTCTCTCTCTCTCTCTCGCACACACACACACACTCAGTTCAACGATCCTCCGCTCTCCTCTGATTCAGCGCAATCCAAGCCATCATTCTCCATCAACGGAACTGCGCCGACGGCACTACCCCCAGCACTCGCAGGAGCAAGATCATCATCAGCACCATGATCCCTATCCTGAGTCCAAGTAATCCTAACCCCCACCCTCTCAAAAGGCTTCACCACATCCCCCCCATCCCTTCTCAGCACCTCAACAACCTTCCCCTCCCACTCCACCATCTCCAAAAACTCCTCCACACCTCTCTCCTCCTCAACAGCATCACCCTCCACGGCCGCCACCTCGCACGCAACTTCCCGCAGCGCCGCACAGGACCGCAGCAGAGGCACCCTCGCCAGGACGGGGAGTATGTCAGCGCTATACGCAAAGGGCAGCACGAGGCGTTCGATCCGCGCCAGGACGTCGGCTGCGAAGTTGAAGTCGCGGATGAAGAGCACGCCGTGGATAGGTTGCGAGATGAGCGGGTGTGTGCCGGCGGCGGCAGTAGCAGTAGCAGTAGCACCAGCACCAGCAGGAGTAACAGCCGGAGCCAGAGCGAGACTGAGAGAGACAGTAGGAGGAGGAGGTGGTGGTGGTGGGCCGCGGAACAGAAAGAGTCGGAAGGGATTGCGGGTTGTTGCGTGCAGGCGGGGGTGCCAGAAGAGGTCGGCAGCGAAGTTGACAAAGTAGATTCTGTTGGGGATGCGCTCGTAGCGGGTTCTGTGGTTGAGGTTGTTGTTGTTATTGTCGTGGCCCAGCAGCTGCGGGAATCGGGCTTCTGCCTCGGGGAGTGTGTGGCCGGGGTGGATGACGAAGTTCCAGCCGTGGGGCTCTTCTTTTTCTCCTGCGGCTGCGGCTCCGGCTCCGGCTGCGGCGGCGTGGTCGGCTCCTCCTTCTCCTCCTGCCGTGGCGGCGCGGAGGTTCCTGGTGACGGTGGGCCGTCGGGTTGAGGTGGCGATGCAGATGGTGTAGAAGCGCTGGGCCTCGATCCGGGACTCGGCGCAGGTGTGCAGAACGGCAGGGACACGCGACTGCGCCTGCAGCTGCTCGGCGCCGCCGAACGCGGGCGCGGGGTCGTCCATGCGAGTCCTCACGGGGACGATTCGAGGGTGAAAGGAGGCATGCATCCAGATTTTGCGGCGGAGCTCGATGACGAGGCGGCCGAACTGCGGGAAGGATACGATCGGCAAGGGCTCGACCGCGGCATCACTATTGACATTGAGTTTGGGGAGGCTCAGGCAGAGATCGCGGACTCGGGAGGAGGATGGGTTATTGGATGTTGGTACGGGATTGTCTGGCTGGGGGCCTCTCGAGTCGGCAGCTTCAGCTTGCGCCTCGTGGTCGGAGTCGGAATGGGACGCCATTGTTGTTACTGGTCGTGGTAGTAGTTCTTCTGCAGCAGGCAGGAAGTGGGTAGTTGCCTGTTCGATCTGAAGTTCGATTCGGGTGGAAACTTCCAGATGGGTGGTGCTTTTCCGCGTCAGCTTTTATTGTTGTTGTTATTCGATATGAAGTTCGAGTCGAGTCTGAACTTCAAGGTGAAGAGCGCGTTCCCACGTCAGGTGTTCTTTGCTGTTATTATTCACGCTAGAAGTAAACAGTTCTCGCTTATTTTTCGTTAGCGCGTAATAGGTCAACCCCAAGGATTCACTCGTATCGTTGCTCCTCTACCTTCACTCTTTCAAGCTCGTCCAGTTGGCAGCCAATCGAAGTCGAAGTATCAATCTAAAAGAGGGCCGACCGAGTCGGCTGGCCTGGAATTCACGGCTTCGAGCTTTGCTCAGCAGACCCCCTCGTCTCGATACCAGAAACGATTCTCTAGGTTCGCCTGCTTTTCCTCGTATTCCACCAGGGCGTATCAACGGGATCTGGGATCTTGCCGTATATGTACCGGGACCCGGCGTTCATCTCACTGAACATGTGTTCCCGAACTGTAATCGGCAGATTCTCACGGACCGACAACTACAGTTTGGATGCCGGTATACTCTCGCTGACTTAGCGAATTAGGTTCTATCACGAGCCTCATTTCGATCTATGGTGATGAGATGGATATCTCGAGGTTCCGGATCATGCTGGGCCACTCGGAGCAAGCAAAGGGCGATTTCAACGACAGCATATACTTGAATGACGGGAACGACTTTACATTCGCGGCAAGAGCTGGCAAGGTTTCCGTGATAATGACAGAATTTAACGCGCTCCTGTTCTCGGCAGCTCTTCCAGGCAGGATTTCGAAAGCCTATAAGAGGCAGAGGAGAGCAGAGTCGAGGCTGCCGGGGATATTGGAGGCCTAGGCTTTCACAGCGGTGTAGATGGTTGTAGCGTGGTATATTTACTTTTGTAGACACTGGTACGGTTCGATGGTACTGAGTATACAGGTGCTATATAGGACAGTGTAAGATTCTCGGGAAGATACAGCTTGGCTTGGATATGGGGCTGTGGTTTGAAAACTGCACGACACGAAGCATTGTGCGCTTGGGCATATCAATCTCATTCAAAAATAAATCTTTCTTACCTGCAGTTTATTTGCTTTGGAGCACTTCTCAGATGAATTATCAAGCCGTGGAGCGCAACCAACGAAAGCCCGCCATGATTACAACCCCAGGCAGTGATCAAGTCTCTCGGCTTCAAGCTCCATTATAGCTCACCAAAAGCTCAGGAGAGACACCTGTCTGTTTTCATGCGCTAAGCTCGTCTATTTTAGCGCTAATTATGAGGTTTGTCAACCCCATGTCGCTCCTTCCACCTTGACTTCAGCTTCTCATCAACCACAAGCCGCAACACAGCACACAATGTCACGCTTTCAGGAGCTCCTCGAGGCTCTCCAGCGTTTGGAGACGAAATTTCAAGCGCAGGACTCCGAGATAGCGACCTTCACTCCCTTTGGTCGTCTGCCACTCGAGCTCCGAAATAAGATTGTAGGTGAAATCTACGGCGGCCGCCTTCTCACGCTCTATATCATAATAACGGCTGACTTTTGGACCTCCAGTGGAAGATCGCGAGCCATCAACCTCGCACGGTGAGGCTCGTTCATTATTCCATCTCCACCTGGCCCCGTCTCCTCCCCGACGTCGACATGGCCGGCCAGCTCAACCTCGAGATCTACGGCCAGTCTCGCCAGCCAGCAGTCCTCCATACCTGCGCCGAGTCCCGCAAGGAAGCCAGCAGATACTACGAGCTTGTCCGAGAGCAGGCACGACCGTTCAAGCGACTGCTCACCCGCGAAGAGCTCGCCGCCCCGGGCGCTGTCCAGGAAGCCACCAAACCCAACCAGTACCACGCGCCCAACATCGTCTATATCAACTTCGCAGTCGACAATTTTCTCCGCCTCCTGATGGGCCCAGCGACGACGGACGGTGTCTCCGTTCTGCAGCCGCTCAACTCGTTCAACTTTGACAACAGAGCGATCAACAAGATTGAGAGATTGGTCGTCATCTGCTCGGCGTGCGGGACTTGCAATACCCTAGTGAGGAAGATCCGTCGGCACTTTCGTCCGCAACTGAAAGAGATTACGGTCCTGTTCAGCAGGTCGAGTCTCCTCAAGACGGATGAAGACTCGGTCGACGCCACGCTCGCTATGCGAGAGACGGCGAAACCCTTCGAGGCTGCGCTCAAGCACCAGCTTCGAACGAGGAACTTGAGGCGTGCTAAGCTGAGCTTCTTCGTTTGGCCCGTCTTGGAAAAGGTGAGGTGAAGTGAAGTGCAGTAAGGTCCAGGTGAAAAGCTGAATCATTCTCGTCGGCGCTTCTGGGGCTTTGAGAGCTTGTGGAAATGGGTTCTTCTTGAGAGCTATCTGGGATTTCGCCGTTGGACTCGCATACGGACGGGATGAGATGAGCTAGCTTCAAGAATTGCATATTGGTTCATCTGCCTACTCTAGCTAGAGCTTAATAACGTATCAAAATGATTGCTAGGATGAGAGATATGACCTGCCACACATCAAAGTTTGACCGTGAAAATGGCTCCTGCTGTTTTGAGTGAATGGAATCGCGGAGGTTTGTGCGATCGAAAATAGCCATACCGGTATTAGGATTGCTTATTCGGTGCTATTCAGCTTTGGTCAGGCTTCGTTTTCTCCCCCGCGACTACAGCTTGTGAACAAGAAACTTGCGGGAAGAACGAAGAATAGGTATAATAACAAACAAGTCCTAATATTGTTCTGTCTGTTTCGCGTCTCTCAACCAGCTTCAAAAAATAAAAATAAAAAATATCCATGAGTCCTCCTCGACCACGTCTTCGAGAGCCCTCATCTTGTTTCCTGCGTCGTCGACAACCCGATAGTAAATGGTCTTCTTGCTGTTAGCCATGCGCTCTCATCACGTCCTCCCGCATCACCGAGTGCCATAGTTCTCGGCGGTAATGGCACATATGGGCAAACGGGTTACCCTCCTTGGCCACGAAGCGCCAGTTGGAACCCACCTCCGCAACAGCGACCCCCCTCGTCTCGCAGGCAGAAACCAGGCGCAACGCGGAAGGGGTTACCCGTACCGAAGTTGGTGAGCGGGCGCCCGTCGTCGCCCCTCGGCGCCGCGACCTTGTGGACTTACCCTCCTTCGCTGACGAGCTTGACCTTGTGCCGGAGGGCTTCGGCCTGCGACTCTGCGCACGCCTGCAGGATGGTCCGGAAAAGTGGGAGCTTGCTAGGCACGCGTGCATGCATCTGTGCTCTCTGTTCTCTGCTCTCGCAGGTGCTCCACGCCCAGAACATGCGTCGGAGTCCCAGGGGGAGCTTCGGGAGGAGAGGGAAGCTCGTGAGTGGTGAGTGGATTTGCAGAGGAGCAAACTGCTCCAAGAGCAGTCGAAGTCGGCTTTTGTCCTGCTGGGAAGGCTCCAACGGCGCGGAGGTGGTTTGCGTCTTGCTGCATGTTCAATGTGGTGCGTGTGGGGATCACTGACAGATCTTGACTCGGAGTAGGTTGGTCAACGGCGAAGTGCTGGGTACTAGCAGCAATAGCGCTGAAATCCCGAGGGTGAGAGGACTGCGGTCTGTTGGGAGACTCGACGGTAGGGACAACGGCTTGGTTGTTGACTTGGGAGTCTGCAGTCGAGTCTTGTTTCTGGATCGCGGTGGCAGAGCAGCTACGTCCTGCAGAGCTGGACATATCGAGGGGTAGATTCGGGTTGTAGATGGCACTTGGCTGGAGAGAGGGTCGAAAATTTGGAAATATCGAATAGCTGCAAGGAGCTCTCATCGAACTCCACCTCGGGTGCATCCATCGATGGATAGACGTTCACTCTGTTCCTTGCACCTTTCATCGATTTCTTTTCGTTTTGAGTGTCGAAAACACGAAGATCTTGGAGGTATAAGATATATGAAAAGTCTCTGAGAGAACAGGTGACGGAATTTTAAGTAAGCGCTTTCTTCTCCCGTACTTGCGTTCACCTTCAAACCTCACGAAAGTGACTTAGAGAAAAACTGTGATTTACATGGATTCCTTCATATTGTTGTTTGGGGGACAGAGTTTCATTCAATTACTATACATCAACCTGCTTCCATAGCTAGAGTAGAAGTCTCGTCCTTCCTGCCCCGATTCCTTTACTCTATCTAGGGAAATCCACACAATAATCTGCCCAGTCCATCATCCAGAGCCTGTACACTACTGCATTTTCTGCCTCCAATTTGGCCCTTTCTGCCTCGAACTTCTCCACTCTTGCCATTCGTGCACTCCAATTGGAGTTTTCCTCCTCATCTTCGAGCGCTCCTCCGACAAGATCCACTGGGTCGATAGTTCTCACCCACGAATCAGGGACATGGCAATGGAGCCGGAGATCTTCAAGGAATCTAAGCCTGACATTCTCCCAGACGGCACACCTAACTATGCCATCCCACCGCAGTTCAGGCTGGAAATGATGCCAAATGTTGTGGAGTTCGATTTTAATCTCCTTTGCTGATGCGTTTCGGTGGACCGCGTTCAGCAAGTCTAAGGCTTTGGTGTATTGCCACCTCTGATACCAATGAGCTCTCGCGAACATCGAAATGTACTGAACTTGCGCGATTACATCTCTGTTGAAGGGAAGCATCCCATGTGTTCCGAATTGGTGGCCACTCTTAACGATGTGGAATCGGTCCACCGAGAAGTTGATGAACAGTGCACCGTGGCCGAGGTTGTCTTCTGAAGGGGAACCCCGATTAATTTTGCGATTCGCAACGAGGAGTTCCTCCGCCTGAATTTCTGCGGCCCCTCGCACGTACTTGGTGTAAAATTTCAAGGCCAGCGCTCGCGACTCACGGTTGATCTGTAAAACCGCTGGGTGTTCGGATTCCCCTTGCATAGCAATGACAGATGGACCAGTCGCAGGTTGACTAAGCATAAAGCTCGTATCTTGTGTAACTTTGACTGTCCTTGGTTTGTATGTGCAGATATCCCAGATCATCAAACGCAGTTCAGTCGGTAGCTTCTCGAACAATGGGAAAGCCTTCACAGGTACAGACTTGTCGATGTAGAGGCGAGGCAGTTGGTTGAGCAGGCGCCGAACTCGGAGGCTTAAGGCGTTCAGAGGATATGTTGACCTAGGAGCTGCTAGTCGGATAGGTAACATGCTCTTGGAGGTGGACGCTGATGCTTTCGAGGAATCTTCTATTTGCGGAGAGGATCCGGGAATTCGAACTGGGGGTCCGGAGAGAATGCCTCTGCTAGGTTTCGTGATCGAGGTGTCTATCAGCATCGAGATAATTTGGTTGAAAGCAGCAGTTATCTCAGGATCTGGTTATTGCTCTGCGTTGGATTAGTTTAACAATAACAAAGTCTCGTACGCGTGCACGAGACTAAACATGCATCGATGGGACGTACCTTCTCCTTGTGTGACCGACGCGTCGGCCTCATAGGCGTGGGTAGCTTGGGGTTGCTCCATTTTGTAGATCGTTGCTGTCGTCCAATTTTGTTTTGCACGTTGATGTTTCCGATCGATGACTATGGTTCAGAAGAAGATGAGGTAACTCCCTAAAGCGCGTCGAGAGATAAAGGTTCGATCTCGCTTAATTTAGCGCGACAACACTAACCAGCCATGTCACTTGACTTCTGAACCCAGCTTTCTCTATAATTAATTCACCTTTCTTTACACAGCAGGAGCTTTGAATCTAGCCAGTCCTCGGCAGTCCTGGACTATATATCCACTTAAAGCTCCCCAATCTTCAGATCAATAAACGCTTCCTTTGACCTCAGATTGATCACAAAGCACAAGTAAACAAACATTGAAAAAACACTACGGGATTCTAATACCCTGTAAAATAACCAAAACAAAGCCCCAAAATTTCATCTGAGTCTCACTTCACCGAGGAGTGTGAAGGAGTCTGCCATCAGGCCAAATTTTGGATCAGTGGGTGGAGAGGCTTAGACCTGGAGGCCTTTTGCCCTGAGTTGGTACATAGATTCGTATTTATTTCGTCTTGATAAAATCACAAAGGGAAAGTAAATATGGCACTGTTCTGTTACTTTGAACATGCTACATGCTTGGGATGTCAAGGTTAAGAGTAGAGAGAGTTGGGGATCTTGATTTGAAATCGAGCTTCATATATTATTTCGTAACAAGTCTATATACATACTATCATCTATCTTACACCCCGAAGTAGGGGTATGACGCGAAGGAAACGCTAAAATGTACATCTTTGGAGGGCTACAATCAAGAATGTAGTTAGAAAGGGAAAGGGGGCGCCGTCACAATCTCACCTCTACCAGCTTGTGCTACAGCACCCCTCATGCTCCCCTCGTCTCGGCCGGTAGTGCTTACACCCCCCTCAAGCTTCGAGTATTAGCTCATCGCAGCCGCCGACCACCCTCATCCACCGACGTCGCCAACCTCCTACCTGCCCCTTCGGGTCGTACCTCGCCTGGATATCCCTCAACCTCGCTGCGTTCGTCGGCCCATACAGCTGACCGCCGCTGTACGTACTCATAGAATAATTCGGGTTCGCATACATGTCCGCGGAGTAGATGCCTTGCTCCTTCGCCACATCGGTCAAATGGTCGACGCTCTGCTGCATTGCCCCCCTCCAAAAATTATCGTTTTCGGACGAGGCCCATGCAAAGTACACAATAAGCGGTATGGGAGAATCAGCGTAGGGGAAGGCCGAGTCGGTCGCGTACTTCCCGTACTTAAGGAAGGGCTCTAAGCTGCACGACAGAAAGGGCATGCCTTTCAGTAGGTTACCATTTCCCCAGAAGCTCGACTCGTTGTATATTGCTGTCGTGAAATCTTCCGTGAGCCCGGTTGTGGATAGGGTATGGAAGGCTCCGCGCTAACCGGAAGGGAAGGTGGATGGTATGCTACCGACGCAGGATGCGAACGTCTGAGTCCTGACGGTAGAGAAGGTGGTATCGAGGTTAAGGAATGGGTCAAATACCGCAGGTCGGTCTGGTCCGTCGTAGAAGAATATGACGATCACATTCGGCACTAGACCTCCTTTAAGGGTAAGGATGACTTGGGTTTTCGAATCGGTGTTTCGCGACTGGAACTCGTTCGTGGCTTTAATTAAGGATCTCGTTGCTGCCGAAAACCCGGAGGCCGCCCCGGATTTGACTCGGTTGCGATAATGTTTAGAAGACGATGCTGGTGACGATTCCGAATCGATTGAGGCCATCCTTGAGCGCTGAGAAGAGATCGGGCTAAGCGGACTTGACGGTGGTGATATTTCCGTCGGGCAAGATAATATAAATAAGTTGACGTAAATGGCAAGCAGCTTACGTAACATCAAAGCGAGCTTGGGAGTGCACCTACCAAAGTATATACGCTCAATTATAAGTTCACAGAATTTGAAGAGGCGTGTTTATTTAAATGATTTGAAGTTCGAAATAATAATATTGCAACGGGAGGGCCAGCTATCAAATAGCTTGCGAAGTGAGGAACCTAATGCTGAACAGCGACCTAGCAAGGAGGGGGAAGATCAGTACAGGCGTAGCGTGCACGTTCTTAAAGCCTCCAAGTAGAGTATGTATTGAGGTGTCAAATCGCAGCGCAAATGAGGGAGCGTCGGGATCCTTCTTGCAATGTGCCGTAAAAAAAATTTGGTGCGTTTGTAGGTCCGTTTGTATGTGGTTCGTGCGCGTAGTTGTCGTATTAGGAAGGAAAGGAGTGATTGGGAGAGTATTCGAATAGCAGAAGCAGGTCGAATAGTAAGGGGTTCAGCTTTCTCTGAAACTGTAATCAGCGGGGAGGTCTGATCAAGGCACCAACACTCGGGGGGCAGAGTGCTGGTCGTTTGTTGCAAGCAGCGATCCGAATAGCAAGAGCAGGTCGAATAGCTGTAAGGCAACAAATTTGTCTATACAATGCTTCTCAGCGAATTGAAGTTGATCTTTCTTTATGATACGGCTGTCGAAGGCAGTATTGTATTGAGTTGCTACCTAAGAGTACGCTCTGTAATGAGAAAGAAAGATGAAAAGGAAAAGAAGAGAATAAGTGCGAGAGAAGAGGTCTTATAGGTAGTCTTGCCAAGACGGGATGCTAAGGTCACGAGGTAACGTGTAACCTATACGAATGTTGTCGCTTGACCTCCGCGTGAGCCAGCGCCACTACTACCGTAAAAACGGCTATAGGACGGCCATAAGACGGTCTCAAGCTCGGGGACGATTAAAAAGGTGAACTATTCTTGTTTTATAAATAGTATTGATTTTAGACGGTCTAGTTACCGATTTATTTTCAAACCCGATTGCTTGGAAAGGAGAAGAAAAGGTGAAGCTTGTGAGTTTGGCTGACAGGCGCCCTTGAGCTTTGATTGGTGTGATGACAGCTAGCTAGCAAGCTTCTGAAGCAGCTGAGATGGCGGATAGGAAAAATGACTTTTAAGCAATCGATCGCTGCTAAGGACTTCTGACTCTGGGAAAGTATTATTGTAATATAGGCCAATCTAATTAAAAGCTTCTATCTTATATCTTACCGACAGCCTTTCAAGGCATTGAAAGTTGGAGCCCGCGTCCTCTTTTGAGAATATAAACACAAACATTTTTTCTAAAAGAAGGTTAGAGGATCGCTCAAATGAGCTCTTACCTGCCTTTAAGGTAACCTACGAGCTTTGTGAACTGACTATTATAAGTCAACAGATCATGTTTTCAGACCGTTCCGGCATTCCTTTACCTCGTCATCGAAAAACTATCACGAGTCATCCAATTCCGTCAGTATATTAGGGTCCAAACAAGCAAGCGTCTTGAAAACTTGAGCAAATCGAAAATAACGCCCGACCCTATCCTCTTCTCCTTCTTTCCCGTTAAAGAAAGCGCCTACGAATACGGCGTGGTAGACCCTGATAATATAATGATAGAATCCTCAAGTTCCTTTTACAGCCACAGCTTGCGATGATATGCAAAAACCAGGTCCCAGGGGTACGAATATGTGCGGAAATGGCGGAGAAGATAGTGGCGACAGAAAAACGTGACTCGTGTGCGGAAGTTATTTGATAATCCGGGTGTGGTGCACGACGAAGAAGACGAGGGAGAAGGGCAGAAGGCAAAGGGAAAAGAAGATGAAGAAGATGAAGAAGATGAAGAAGAAGAAGAAATAGAAAAAGAGGCCAAGCAAAGTCTTGATACCGGTACATGCCAAACATTTCCAAGAAAGGCGTGATAGGGTTAATAAGGCCGAGATGCAGCACGTGTCAGCTCTCGTAATAAGCTTCGGACGGACGTCTTGGTTCTATTACCAGGTCGTAGCTGAATGACTGGTATCAAAGGCGAGAAGGTTGATGTGGTATTGGCTAGAAGATAGCAACTATTAGGGAAGGAAGATGACTCTCCCACTATCTGTCCGTGCTCGAATACTATCACGTGGCCTGGTCCCACGATAATCGTCCCATCCATAATCATCCATCCCAACTCCGTCAACTCTCACCCGCTGCTCGACAACGACAACGACAGCGATCGGCTTCGCATTCCACGAGATGCATTTGGTGGAGAGGAGAAGTCGCCCCTGCTGCCAATGCCGTCGGTCTGACTCGCCACATCGCTTATACGGAGTAATGCAGAGATCCTTGCGGGAAAAGCCGTCCACCGGAAACTCGTACGTTCGTTCGTTCGTTTACTCTCGACACCCCGACGACATCTGGTCGCCATGGTAGTTGGTGTGTCACCGGCATCCCCAACCTAACGGCGGACATCCACGACAGAACTTGCAATAGCAGAGTCGAGGGCAGCCCGCAGGCGTGCTGCAGAGTGGATGATCATCGATCTTGGGGGGTCCTGGTCTTGGTGAAAAGCTTGGAGAAGGTGGCCAGCCAAGATCACGAAGATGGGGTGCCGATTAATAAGGCCGAGGAAGTTGAGGCCAAGAGAGGCCTAAGAAAGCCCAGCCGCCAGCCGCTTTCTTCAGGGTCCTCGTCGTCGTGAATCGTGCATCGACCCCATGGAGAAGCGTGGAGCCGCATCCAGGTTCTCCACGGCGAGGAGATGCCGGTGTGTCGCGCAGTCGTCACTGGCCAGAAGATGCTGATGGCCTGTCTGGATGGGGATTAAACTGGTGGAGCTGGCCGAGGTGGCCGAGGTCCGTCTTGCCGTGGAGACTCTGAGACATCGCGACAGCGGCCGGAATTGTTCACGAGAGGACCATTGAACCAACCGAGTCAATTGAATCAAAAACACTGACTGGCCCTTGGACGACGTGCGCGTGGAAAAGAAAGTGGACCGCCCGTTACTGCCGTTGTTTACCCAGATGATATTGATGCGGAGGCGGGGATTGGGGATTGGGGATGGGGGATGGGTTGGGGAACGAGATGGAGTGAGTATATATCCATCTGCCGTGCTGCGCAAGACCTTTGTGATGAGTCGCATCAAGCTGCCGCTCTCCCCTCCTCTTCTTCTTCCTTCTCCTCCTCTTCCTCCTCCTCCTCCTCCTCCTCTCCATCTTCGCAAGCCGTCGCCTTCGCATCACGATTATCTTCTCCCAGCTCCACTCCATCGTCGACCATCAACGTCTTTCTCCATTGGAGCGATCGACATCAGCATCCATAATCATGGAGCCACAAGCCATCGAGCCTTCGTCCGATGTTGTTCATAGCAGCAAAGCCAACAAGATTGCCCCCATCGACGACCATGCCGTCACGGGCGCCGGGCATATCACCGTGCGGGAGTCCCTCGTCCCCGTGGCGCTCGTCACCATCCTCTTCTTCCTGTGGGGTTTCGCGTACGGCCTCCTCGATGTCCTCAATGCCCACTTCCAGACGGCTCTTGGAGTCTCTAAGGGTGCAAGTGGCGGATTACAGTCTGCATATTTTGGTGCTTACGTAATAGGCCCCCTTACCTATTCCGGCTGGATCGTCCGCAAGTTCGGCTACCGATGGGCCTTCATTGTCGGGCTGTGCATCTACGGTGTCGGTGCCCTGATTTTCTGGCCGTCCGGTGTGAAGCGATCGTAAGTGTTTCTTCCGTCTCGAAGAAGGGGTCCAGGGCCGCATTCCATTCTAATCCGTCGATAGCTTTGTCGGCTTCTGTTTTTCCATGTTTATCGTAGGAAGCGGTCTTTCCACGCTCGAGGCCGCGGCCAACCCGTTCATCGCAACTTGTGGACCTCCTAAGTACTCCGAGCTCCGTCTCACGCTCGCTCAAGCTTTTCAGGCGATCGGCACCGTCGTGGCACCCGTGCTGGCCTCGCAGGTCATCTTCAAGAAGGTCAACGACACATCCCTGGAGTCGGTGCAGTGGGTCTACCTGGGCATCGCCATCTTCGTCTTCCTCCTGGCTATCGTCTTCTTCCTCATCAAGCTTCCCGAGGTGACCGACGCCGACATGGCGGCGCAGGCGGCCGAGTCGGCCCAGGATACCGACTTTGAGGACAAGCCGCTGCGGCAGCAATACACCCTCTTCTTCGGTGTCGCTGCCCAGTTCTGCTACGTCGGCGCGCAGGTCGCCTATGCCGCCTACTTCATCAACTACGTCTCTTGGATCCGCCCCGGCACAACCCACGCCACGGGGGCTAATCTGCTCGCCGGCGCCCAGGGCTGCTTCGCCGTCGGCCGCTTCGTGGCCAGCGCGCTGCTCAAGTTCATCAAGCCGCGCCTGGTCCTCATGGGTTTCATGACGGGCGTCATGATCTTCGCCGTGCTCGTTATCGTCCTGCAGGGCGACGCCGGCATGGCGTCCATCTTCCTGGTGCTGTTCTTCGAATCCTGCGTCTTCCCTCTCATCTTCACCCTGTCTATCCGCGGCTTGGGCCGGCACAGCAAGCGCGGCTCCAGCTTCGTCGTAGCCGCCGTGAGCGGCGGCGCGCTCTTCCCGCCCATCCTGGGCGTCGTGGCCGACTCCTTCGACGGCAACACTCAGAAGGCCTTCTTCATCCCGCTCATCGGCTTCACTATTGCAATCATGTTCCCCATCTACTTGAACCTCTTTAAGTGGAAGACGCTCGACGGATGGACCGAGAACGTGAAGATTGGGACCGCAGCCGCCGTCAAGGATATCGAGACGGCGTCCCTGGGAGGCGCTGATGATGCGAAGAATGGTGGCCGCACCATTGAAATCGAGAAGACGTGATCGGAAAATGAGAGTGTGAGATGGCGAGAGGGCATGCTAGCATAACGGCGTTTTGGGATACAGATATCCAATGATTGTCAACCTTGACATGATGATTTATGATAACTCAAGACGAGAAGGGCCTTACGCATAACGTAGAAGACATAATAATACAGGAAAAATCTATAAACCAAACATTCAAATTCTTTAATATGAAAAGCACCGATCCCAAGTTCAAATGTTTCCCCCCTCCCCTCCCTTTCCTCCCATCCCACAGCGGCACCCGAGTTTCTGGCCCTGATTCGGATCCGAACGTCCTTCTCTATTGACCAACTCAACAGTGACACACACCATACACACACGTTAGGACATGTATCAGCTTACGAAGAAAGGCATTCAGGCTTTAAGGCTTCTCGGATTTTGTTTTTAAGTCTTTTGTTTCTATATATGCATACATTTACATATACATAATCCTCCGCATCTCGAACCCGGCACGGAGAAGAGACAGAATGAGACCGACTTTTTTTTATATCTTTTTATTTCACGTATTTAAAAGCCGCGCCTTCTTCTTTTCTTTTTCTCTTTTCTTTTCTTCTTCTTTCTTCTTCTTTCTTTTTATTTCCTTTCTTTTGTTATACCTCGCCTATCCTTCTCCGCAGCCGCGTGCTTCTCTCCTTTCCTTTTCGCTTCCTAATATCGAAGATGTTGGCTGCTTGGTTTGGCGGATGGATTGTAAGCGGATGGGTAGATAAGGGAGGTGTGGCGGTTGGATTATGGATACATTCGTTTTTGATGGCGGTGTTTGTGTTGATGGTATGTTGGTGTTTGCTGATATCGAGGCTGCGGAATTTGCTAGCAGGGTGTTCTGCGAGGCGCTTGTTGAACGGTAACACGGGGATACAAAGATGAGGGAATGAGTTCTTGATTGATTGTCTGATGAAATCAGGGAGTAGCCCTCAACTTATACATCTGGAGAGGTCTTGACACGTGATAGGTCTGTCACCTGAACATATCCGACAGCGCTTGCAATCGCAGTATCGTGGATGTAGCTGCAATGGCTATAATGCTCGCAGTAATTTGCTGCAGGTGGCATGGCTGTTGGATGAATAGGTAATTGCGGCCATGATTCCGACTATTGATTTGAATCCCGATATGCAATGCGATGCGAGTTGGAGCAATTGTAATTGAAAAAAAATTATTAAATCAGAGAAAACTAAGACGAGATGTACTCCGTATATATAAGCGACAAAGGGCCGCGCTCAGTTTAGATAGATACGTTCGCTTTTAGCACAGGATAGGCAAGACCCAATCGTCCATATCGAACTCAAACGGGCTTGAAAATTTCGGCGAGTGACACTCGAGGGGATACGAGCAGTCCGGTCACCTGGTATACGAGAACAAGCCTGGTACAAATGACCAAAACGACCGGCCTGATGTGCTCCCAGATTTGTTGGACCTGCATGGTGGCTACGTGCCTTTCTGTTCTGGGACGGAGTGAGGTCAGCTCAGGTCAATGAGGTTATCAATTCAATTGTATTACGAAGATGGAAGAGTTACCTGACTATGAGATGCGGTGTGAAATGGCTGTGCTTGGTTGAGTCGATCGAGGAAAAGGTTGAGGTTGAGTTGAGAGAAACGGTCATAATATAGGTAATATAGGTTGGTAAGCAGTCATTATATAGATTGGTAAGCAGAAGCTGGAAGCTCCTTCCTTCTTTCTTTCCCTCCTTCTTCCTGCCTTCCTTCTTCGACTCCGACATGAAGTCATTGCCAGCCCCGCGGACGTCACCATGTTGTGAGCGGATGGTGATCTTCCGTTTTGGACAATTGGGTTGGGTTGGTTGGATTGGTTGGGTGGTTGGGCTGGGTTATGATTATTTCTTCACCTCTCCTTTTCTAACTCTTCTCCTTCTCCTTGACCCTCCTTCTCCATCACACCTTCTCCCCTTCTCCCCTTCTCCCCTTCTCCCCCATCCATCTCATCTGATCTCTATCCCCATCTCTATCCCCATTTCCCATATTTTCTCGATTCCACTCCCATCTCCATCTCCATCTCCATCTCCATCTCCATCTCCATCTCCGTCCCCATCTCCATCTCTATTACCAACCGCCTCTTCCTTGGGGAGGAAAACAATGTTCCGACGCCATTAATTCAAAATATCCCTCGCTTCCCGCTGCCGGTGGTCCGTTGCGTGCTACTTCGAAAAGAATCAAGAAATGACAATTAATCATACAATCAACGAGGAGAACGACCATGCGAACAAGAGACATACGTGTATCCTTCGCCCCCGATGAGAAGGAAGGGCCACGATTTGTGCATCTGCAGAGGGCGAATGCAAATGCGGCTCAAGTCCAATCGAGTTTCCAAGCAGCAAATATACAGAACAGAAACAGAGAAGTTACAAGTAAAACGAGTACACAAACACCACCACCGTATGGACCGTCGACACGGTGTACAAAAACTCGAACCAGACCTCCTGGCCACTAAAGGCGATCCGCTTGCTGGCCTCAGTCGGGTGCGCAATACCCGTCTTCTGATCCCGCTGGAGTAGGGCCTCCCGCTCCGGCATAACAGGCGGGTCGATCGCGTAAGCAATGGGCGTCCACAGCGAGGAGACCAGGAACAAGAAAGTCATGGGCGGCCAGAAAACGTGGATGGTGAGGCCGATGAAGATGCCACGCAGACTGGTATCCGGGGCGAAGAACACCTTGTAGGAAGTGACGGCAACGGCGGCGAGCGTGAAGTAGACGAAGACGAAGTGGAAGATGGCCATGTAGTTGAAAAGGATGGTAAATAACCGGCGCGGCATGCTCTTGCGGTTCTGGGCATCACGCTCGTTCAGGGCCGAGCCGAGCGAGCCCGTCGGCTTGAAGGCGACGACGTTGCCGCCCAGCCACCGGGGCAGGATGAAGGCCCGCATGATGGACAGCGCCAGGTACGGCGACATCCAGAACTGGGAGCGCGAGTCGCGTTGGCTCGTGTGATAGCCAGACGGACTGGACATGGCGACCTCGCAGAGGCGGTTGCAGGCCACGGAGGCGGAGGCGCCCCAGATCAGCCAGCGCAGCTGCGTGACGGTGCTGAAGGCAACGAGCGGCTTGCCCCACGCGAGCACGATGGGGACTACGAACATCGACAAGGTCAGCAGCACCGTGAAGATGCCCAGCATGGCGTACAGGGCGCCCAAGAGGCGCTGTGCCACGGTCATCGACCGCACGCTGTCACCGTACAGACAGAAGTTCAGCTTGGTAGCCGTCTGCACCGTGCCGACGGCCCACCGCGTGCGCTGCTTCAGGTGCCCGGCGAAGTCTTCCGGAACCGTGCCGAACTGCAGCGGTTCGTGGATGTAGCTGGTCTTCCAGCCCTTGCCTATCACCATCGTCGACGTCGCCACGTCTTCGGCGAGGGATCCGGTGGGGAAGTTGCCGATCTCGGTAAGTGCTTCTCGCCGGAAGATGTAGCCGGAACCGGTACACCATGCCACCCCAAGGGCGTCCTTGATGGGCTCGATCACGTGGACAAAGAAGTTCAGACTCTGCGCGAGAGGATCCGAGACGGGCGTGTTGTAGAACAGCTGTGGTGGGCACGCGAGCGCCATCTTGGGGTCAATGAGCAGATGAGGGAGAAGGGCACGCAGCCAGTCGCGTTCAGGAATCTAGCAAGAGTCGAGGTCAGCATGGCGTCGAGGTTCATACGGAAGAAGGAAAGACGAAAGAGATGCCGGGGGACAAGGGCGAGAATCCATAACGCTCCATCACTCACCATATCGGCATCCAGCGCAGCCATGAACTCGCCCGGGCCCATCAGGTCCACCTGCTCGAGCCCGTAGTTGAGATTCCCAGCCTTGAAATGGTGCGGAACCCCGGGGAACTTGGGCCGTGCGATGTAGAACACATTCTCGTAAACGCCGGCGAGCTGGTTGATGTACGCCTCCAGGCCAGCCGACTTTCCGTCGTCTAGCACTATCACCCTGAAGCGGTCCCGAGGGTAGTCCTGGTCGCAGGCAGCACGGACAGTATCAAGCACGATCTCGTCATCCTCTCCGCAGCAGGTGACAAAGACGTCAACCGTGGGGCCGTCTTCGCCACGCAGGCGCAGTTTGGGCCGCTGGCGTTTCTTCAACCCACACATGAGTAAGAAGTTGTGCATCTGTGACGGGATCGCGACGAGGATTTCGACCGCCAGGAAGGCCCACGCGCCCGCATATATGGTATTCTGGGAATTCTGTGCCATGATCACGCAAGCGATGCGCAAGCCCAGGTACGCAAAGTACAGGAAGGTATTCCCGAACATGAGAAAGGGCATGAATCGAGACACTTTGCGGCGCCAGCCCTTAAAAATTTCCACGTCGTCACGTTTGTGTAGGTGGGCGATGGAATCTTCGGTGAAGGTGTACTCGGAGGAGAGTCCCGAGGTGCTTTTGGAGGTATGATGCGGCTTCATGAGGGGAGCGAGACTGTGATGGCTCTGTGAAGAGCCATTGCCCTGATACTGCTCGAGGCGTCAGCACCAGATACTTGGGATCCGTGTCGGCTTTTCACCTGCCGGATGGCAGGGCAGAAACAGAAAAGACCACAGTCAGAGACGGAGAGGGGAGCCATACAAAACAGGGGGACGTTGGCCGCGAATCGATATCGATGGGCGTTGCTGGTCCAGATCCTGGCACCGACTCCAGGAACGAGTGCCTCTCGGGCAGTGCTGAGTTTGGCCACTCCTCACTAACAGCACTTCCTCCGCCTACCCAGGTAGAGGAGTCTCCCGAGTGGTGCGACCAGGTATTGCTGTTGCTGCTGCTGCTGTTGTTGTTGGGGTTGCTGTTGGCAAGCGTGGACCGCCGCGACCTCGTAGCCACGGGGATATCGAGACCGCTGGTGTAGTGGTCATTGCCATCATTACTCTTGATGTCGGCCATCTCGAGACCCACGATGTTGCGTGAGGCCATGGTGCCGGAGAGGATTGAAGCGATTGAAGAATTCCTCTCTCTTCTTTCTCTCCGTCTCCCTCGCTTCTTGCCCTTTGAAAGCGTGCACGACTGACTCACCCACGCCCACCTGGGAGGTCTTCGCTCAGTAGTACGGTCGGTATGAGGAGGTAAACAACAAGCAAGTACTACCTACGCACGCATCCGTAGACAAGACCAGTTCTGGGTACCTTCACCAGAGTAAGGGATGATGTCGACGAGGGAGGAACACGACCGACGCGGACTAATGGGAATTCACAGCCGAGTTAAGTCACTCAGTCAACCTAGAAGTATAACTAATTTCAAGTCAGGTCCATGGTCCAAAGTCTAATAAGATGAACGGCTTTGAAAGTCTAAAATAACTTATCTACCTTATCTGGAATTTGCGGGTACTCGAATTGGCTTACTGGCTGTCGTGTCGATGGAGGTGGTTCATTCCGTGCCCCGGCCCTTGAATTAACACAACTTGATAAGATTGTTTTGTTTTCTCTTCCATCCGGAGAGAGGCGTTGGAGACATGAGCAACTTTCATTCGTATTTTATTTTCAGAATGGGAGCGGATGGCCCCTTTCCTCGCCCACTTTCTCGCTAAGGCCGTTCAATTCCGTAAGTAACAACTCATACCCCTGCCTTATCCATGTCGGACTCCGATTTATTTCTGGTGAACGCGCTTAAGAAGTCGTCGTGACGCGATGATTTACATACGAAGAAAGTTAGTTGTAAATGCGTGCATCACATGGCTGTGGCTGGGTGGCTGGCGGGCTGGAGTAGCGGGCTCGCTCGCTACGTAGTAGGTGGCAGGATGGAGCAGCGCGCTTCGAAACTGGCCGCCTTGTGCTATGCTACGGGTGGCGTTTTTCCAGCGCTTTGGGATTGTTTGTCTATCTGCGTTTTTCTACTGTGGTTTGTCGGCCACGAGGGGAGATGACTGGGGATAGGTACGGTAGAAGGCGAGGAATGTGAAGAATTTGCGGAATGAGGGGTGAAGGAATGGGGGGAGGGGGGGGGGGGGGGGGGGGGGGGGAAGGGTGGAGGGAAGT